CACCTTGACCTGGAAGACAGGGACCTGATGTCCTGTGTCAAGGTGAACTGCTTAGTAGATGAGGGAAAGACTGTGAACAATGTCTACCTGGACTTTAGTTAAGCCTTTAACACCTACTTCCCACAGCATTCTCCTGGAGAAACTGGTTTCCCATGGCTTGGATAGGTACACTGTTTGCTGGGTACAAAAATGACTGGATGGCTGGGCCCAGAGAGTGATGGGGAATAGAGCTGAATCCAGCTATGGGCCAGTAAACAGCGGTGTTTCCCAGGGCTCAGTTTTGGGCCAGTCCTGTTTAATATCTTTATTGATGATCTAGGCAAGAGGATCAAATGCACCCCCATTAAGGTTACAGATGACGCTAATTTGGGAGAAGTGTTGATTTGTTGGAGGGTAGGAAGGCTCTGCAGATGGATCTGGACAGGCTGGATTGATGGCAGTGCCAGGTTAACAGTTGTACTTGACCTTAAAGGTCTTTTCCAATCTAAAAGATTCCATGATTCTATACCAGAAGGGCAAGAGATGCTGGGAGATAGACTGCAGCCTGATGTTACTGCCAGCCAGCTCTGGCAAAACCTTCCTCTCGATGACAAAAGCATGTCCCTCATAGTAAATAAACTCTTAAATGGGCCCTTTGCAAAACCCAGCAACTGTGACGTAGGAGAGCTGAAGAGCACGTTGTGTGACTGCTCACACATCCGCTCCCTCTCTGGAGAAGCAGGGCTCTCCTTTCTACTCTATTAATCCCTGGCCTATTTTCAAACATTTTGGTGCATTTTGTAACTTAAATCTCTTCCCTCCCTCTCTGCTGTACCACTATCCTTCAGCGGGGGCCTCACCTTGACCTGAACCCCAGGGGAGGTTGCATGGTCTGGACACAGTTTCAGAGGCAAGGCTGAGGCAGGGACAGCCCTGACACCCCACAGCAATGTGATATGCACCCACAGGCGATGCTGCCCAGTGGGAATTGCTGAACAACTCAGGATATGAGGTGCTTTGGGAACAACCAGTCCTCAAAAGATGCTTGAGTCTCATTTCCAGGTGGGGATCTGCACCCAGACCCCGTTCCCTCTGCCAGCTCCTCATGCACTTCCACATCTCCCTAGTGCCAGAGCAAGCTGAAGGTTGTATTTCCAGGCCTGGCTACCCAGACACCAAAAACTCTCCAGGAATGCTCCCAAGAGGCAAAGGACTAGCATAACTCAGGAGCTTTCAATACTCTGGCTGTTTTGGAGGATGAAGCAAAGACAGCTCCTGATGTGAAAGCTGCAGCTGCCCAGATCGCAAGCAGGACCTACAGCGAGGGCAGTATTTTGTAACAACACAAAAGCTGTGTTTGTGATCTCCATCTCAACTAAGACTTTAAAAACAATTACAATCTGTTTGGCCAAAGTGGCTAAAAGCAGTGAATATACTGCCAAACTCGAGTCAGCTGCACAAACAGACATCTGGGGGTCATATCCCACCGGTGTCCCCACTGACATGGGTGGGCAGTATCCCTCTCATGCTCTACCCACCTTTGCGGCAGTGGCACAAGGTACAAGCCAGCAGCACAGCAGGTAGCCTGTTCTGTTTGCAATAACAATTTGATGTTTATCACTGTGTGTTTTATCAGATGTATTTAACCTGACCCAACTCTCTGCTAGTGTAAATCCTAAGTACCCTAAAATCCAATTTAACAGCTACTTCTGACTTCAATGATCCATTTTTTAATGCCTAGCATGTATCTATAAAACTATCTTTGTAGTGTAAAATATTTCAACAGTCCAAAGCTTTTCTTTTCCAACCACGGAACAGGAAAGATTTTTCAGGTTTGGTTTTGGTTATGCCATAATATTTTTTCCTCCAATATTTCTCTCTTTCAGTTCCAGCTGCCCCCAGAACTGCACTGTTTATATTTTAATAGTTTTACTAATATTACCTTAGAGGAGAGAAATCAGTTCTTCAACACTCAGACTGCACTGCAAGCCTGAGGTTTCTCAACACCGTAGCTGAGCTTTGCAGTACCAAGGTCAACTGCTCAGTGCAAACAGCCTAACATTCCCTGTCCTTTCCACACCCACGTGCTCTGGATGCTGGAGTGGATTTACATTCAGTCACTTGCTCATCTCTCAGTTTTGGCTACACAGAGCCACAACATCTGAAGTATAAACAGAGGCAGCCAAACAAATAGAGAGATTATTTGGACAACGAAGTCCTGGTCCACAATATGTGTTACTGAAGTGCCAATAATTAATAACAGTGAAAATACAGACCCCAACACGTGGACATGGGATTTCTTTGTGCCAGAGGGTCCTGTCCCAAAGCTGGTGAGAGTTTGACCACTGAGCCTGTTGGAGGCTGGCTAACCCTTCAACACTGTGGGACACCTCCTCCCTGTGTCCCCTTGCTACCTGCCAACCCACACTACTCCCAGGTATTGCAAAATAAAAGTGACTGGCAAAATTCAAAATGCAGGAGACAGAACAACACAGGAGATATTGATCTCTACAATCAAGAGGTTAATTGTCACTTCCCCTCAATGCTACATAATAATCATGTCCTGCACTATTGTATAGTGCATCTCCAGCCCCAGTGTGAGCACCTACACTGTGTGTACCTACACCGACTCCACATCACACCAGCCTGTCAACTTTCAGTCCTTGTGCAGTATGAAGCAAACAGCAGCTGATTGGCAGCCCTGGTCCTGTGCTGGGTGTCCCCTGCTCGGGCAGCCTGTTAATGTTTATCTGAGGAGCTGACCTGGGGCCTCACACACCACACCGTTAGATCACACCCTTCCTTTGCCCGACTGGCTCACACTCAGAGGGTTTGGGGCACTGCTGACATCCCTCCCAAGGCAGCAGGTGAGGGCACAGACAGGTGCAGGCAACAAGGCAGAGAGGCAGGAGGGAAGGACTCAGCCACATTCCCTGCCTCTGCTGTAGTGCTGAGCTGCAGAGGCAGCAAGTGGAGCTGAGTCAGAGGAGGAGAGGGCTTTTACAACTGTTCCTTCTTCCTAACACCCTTTTCAAGCAGGATCAGTACCACTCTGGGAAAAAAAAGAAGGGAGCACTAGGAGTTTCCAGACCCCAGCCCCACACAAGCCAGGTGTTTTTTACCATGAGGGGTGTGAGAGCTCATGGAGCTTGTCCTCACACCTTGCAGCAGCATCAGAGACCATCAGTAATGACACCCCCTCCTGCTCCCTGCCGTCGGGGGAGGGAGGCCGGGATTCCCCTCCAGCATTCCCTGGGGTTGCCCCTGACGGCACCAGCGCTTGGGGCAAGTCCTTCTCAGAGCAGCCAAGAGAGCCAAGGCCACACGGGGACTGCGAAGAGGTGTCGGTAACCAGAAACCCTGCTCCACCCCTCTCCCATCCTCCAACCTCCCCAGGACAGCGCACAGCGCTGCTTCAAAGCCCCTCTGCCTTCTGCACCGGGGGGTACCAGCCTGGGGGGTCTCAGCTCCGCGCTGGTCACCCCACTGCGTTTGCAAAGCTAGTTCTGCCAAGGACCCAGCGACACCCAGACCCACCCACTGACCACGGCACGGCCCAAGTAGCAACGCAACGAACACCCCCGTAGTGCGGGGAGAGCGCGTGGAAATGCGGGGGATCCACACACGGGCGGTGCCCGAGGGACACCACGGTCTCACGCAGCGCCGGTAGGACCCGTGGGCACCGTTTCCCCGCACCTCTCCCGAGTGTTTCTGAAAGGACCGCGCACTTGCACAACCTCCCGGCCCGCGGGTCCAGCCTGTCACACAGCACCGCGATTGCGGATAGTGGGAGAGCTCCATTTCCCCCTTCCCCAGCCCAAATTTCTGCTTCCCTCCAGTTAGGGACTCACAGAGAGCCAGCCCTCGATAGCAGTGCGGTCCTGTCCTGCCGCCCAAACCTGCCCGCCCGTGTCTGCCGTCCCCTGCCAGCCCTGCCCGCCCGCCGCCAGCTCCGCAGCGCGGGGACATCAAGGCAGCGCCTGTTACACGGGGAAAAAAAACCTCCACAACCAACCCAACAGACCTGCAGCCGTCCCACGGTCGGAGCTGAGCTGGATGCCATGGAAAATAAAAACCCTCCTCCCCTCCCCTCGGGCTCACTGTCATGTGAGACTTGTAGTTAAACAAACTGGGTGCTTTAAAAGCTTTTGGTTGGATGCAGAACGATGGTCTGTGGTTGCAGCAGCATGTCACCCGACTTCCCAGTACAATATTCCCGAGTCCCACAGTCACAGGCTCACATTTTAGGCAAATAGTCCATTTATTCCTATTATTATTTCAGCAGAAAGTCCTATAGCGCTTGGCAAAGAAAGCATTCGCAGTTTCTGGGCGTTGATGAAACTGTCCCACTGCCAGCCACAGCCGCGGCCGTGACCCAGCCCTGCCGACCCGCGCTCAGCCCCACTCCCAGCATCCCTTCCCCTCTATTTTGTCGCAGACTGCCACCTCCGCACAGTCCCCCGGGCTGGACAGCACTGGCACCACCGCCCGAGATGCCCACCTGGCCGGGGGGGGCTTCCCACGGCCACCGACTCGGTTAAGAGAAGGGAACCGGGAGGAGTCCCGCGAGGCGCCCGGCTCCTCAGCGGGGCTGTCGCGGGGGCAGGGGGGGGTCCAGCCCCACCCCTGCTCCCGCCGCCCCGCACGGCTCTCCCGCAGCAGCCACCGGCTGCTCACAGCAAGGTCATGAGGTAGTTCAACACCGGCCGCGGCCAGAAAGTCCTTCCGAGAACGTGCATTCTGCACAGCCTCAAATCCCCCCGACCCCACTTAAGGGACCCTCGGTCATGCCCCTAACCAGGGAGGCCGCCAGCAGCCCACCTGCCCTAGCAGGGTCCAGCCCCCACTTGCATAAGGCTTGAGTTTGGGGTTTCTCGCAGCCATTAGATTTTAGGGGTACTCTAGAAGAGGATCACTATTATTATTAAGGGGGGAAGTTGATTTTCCTTAGAAAGACTCCTCTGTACAACCACTGTGTGCCACACCAGAGCCCACAGTACCCTACCCGCTAGGCACAGTACCTTTGCAGTGCAAAAAGTCCTCGGGGTGAGGGAAGGAACCCTCTTCACAGAGCAAGTCGCAGGTTTTATCCGGTGCCAGGGGGTAGCCGTTTTCCTCCTCATTGTAGTCTCCCCTGCCGTTGCTGTTGGAGTAGCCATTGGCATACATCTTCAGGGCAGACCTGCGGAAGCACAGGAGCTCCTGGAAGGCGTACCTGAAGTCCGGGCTCCGGCAGTAGATCAAAGGGTTGAAGGCAGAGTTGATATAGCCCAGCCAGTTCAAGAGGATGTACAAGTACTTGGGAATGATGTTGTCCTGGATGACGTGCACGATGTTGACAATGAAGAAGGGCAGCCAGCACAGCGTGAAGGTGCCCATGATGATGCCCAGGGTCTTGAGGGCCTTGTGCTCCTTCAAGAACTTGGAGGCACGGCGGTACCCGGCTCCCCCTTTCTGCTCCTGCTCCTTGTTCTGGGTGTGAAATCTCCCCTCGCTCCTATCTATCTTCTGCAACTGCTTCTTGGCCACCTGGAAGACCCTGGCATACACAAATACCATGATGATGAGTGGCAGGTAGAAGGAGATGATGGAGGAGGCAATGGCATAGGCTTGGTTGGTGAAAAAGTCACAACATGTGTCCTTCTCATAGCACCGGATGGCCTCTGCATGGTCTGCCCGGTACCAGTGCATTTGGATGGGCAAGAAGGAGGTGAGGGCTGAGACCACCCACACGACGAGGACGACCCCGCGTGCCTTGCTCTTAGTCAGCAGGCTCTGGTACTTGAAAGGGGAGGTGATGGCGAAGTACCGGTCCACAGCAATGACACAGAGGGTCTCAATGCTGGCTGTGACACAGAGCACATCCAAGGCGGTCCAGAACTCACACCAGAAGTTCCCAAACTGCCACATCTCCATGATGATGTGGAAGGCGCCGAAGGGCACCACGCCCAGCCCCATCACCAGGTCAGCGCAGGCCAGCGAGGTGATGAAGTAGTTGGTGACAGTCTGCAGGCGCTGGAACCGGGCGATGGCAGTGATCACCAGCACGTTGCCGAAGACGATGGCCAGCACGATCACCGACATGAGGATCCCCATGCCCACCATCCACACGTCCCGCGACACCGTGGGGTCGGCGGCGCTCTGGTTGGCGCTGACGTTGCCGCCGGGCAGCTCGGTGCCTGCCACCGCCATGGCCCGCCAGCAGCCCCCCAGGGGCGGCGGGGGGGGGCTCGGCTTTGCTTAGGGCTCCGCAGCGGCAGCGCTGCTCTGGGCGCCGCGCATACGGGATCGCAGGTGCGGGGACGCTCCCGCCGTGCGGACCTGGGACCGCTCCCGTCCCGTCCCGTCCCGTCCCGTCCCGTCTGCCTCGTCCCGTCCCGTCCCGCGCGCGGCAACCGCCCGCCCTCCCGTCTCCCAGCCCGTTCGGCGCCGCGGAGCTTATAAAGTGACACCCGCCCGTGACATCAGCCCGCCGCAGCCAATGGCAGCCGGCACCCGCACCCCGAGCCCCCCCCGCACCCCCTGAGCTCCCCCTCCGCCTGCCCCACGCGTGTCACCGCTCCCCCCGACCACGCGTGCGGCATCCCTGCGGTGTACCGCGCCTCCTGCGTGCTGCCCGCACCGTGGGCTCCCCCTACTCCAGGTGTGATCCCTCCCCTCGCGGTGTCCTCACGCTCTCCCCCGCCCACGCGTGTCCCCCACGCACCCCCACGTGCAGCCTGCTGTGCACTGTCCCCGTGCCTCCCACCTGCACTGCCAAGCAATCACTCCCTACCTCAGCAGTGTCCCTGCACCTCCTGCCCCCACACTCCCTGCCCCAAAGTGTCCCCACATCTCTCACCCCACCCACACACTCTGCATGCTCCTGGGGTGTCACCAGGACACACGGCACCAGGAAAATCCTGAGGATGCTGAAGCTCACGAAGGCCTTGTCTCTGGCTGGGCACTGGAATTTGGCTTTCCTGAGAACCCCATCTTCACTGGTGACACCTCATGCCAGGTTGTCACCTGTGTCCCCAACCCTGACAGCCCCCAGCACAGCACTGTTACTGCAGCTTCACCCCCAGCTCAGCACCCCAGCTGGCATCCAGGGTAGTGGGGTGCATCCAAGTGCAGGAGTCACCACCCAGCCCCCAAAACCCCAGAGCTGATCAAAGGCACAGACACCCCTCAACTGTCCTGGGGGCACTGACAAGGCAGGGAGCTGTGTGACTGCTGCAGCCAGGCATGTGGTCAGACCCAGACTCTATCACAAGTATTTCCCTCCAAAATAAACAAATTTGCTAAGTAAGGACTAAGGAATCCTTAAAACTTCCTTTTAGCCTAATGGGAGATAACACCACCACTGGAGTTTCATTTCTGCCCATTGCTCTGAAGTGGCACTGCCCAGCCTCGTGCTGCTCTCCCAGAGACAAATCACGCTGCCCGCTGGGTGTGGGGTGCTTGTGGAGGTGACAGCAAAGCCTGAAACCTGTGGTTCTAGAATTGCCCTGTGCCATGGAAAGGTAGTAAAGAAAGAGTTGCTTTTGCCCAGATCTATTCCAGTGCCACCAGCTGCACCAGCAGAAGCTGCAGGTCGGTGCCTCGCTGGGTACAGAACTGTGACCCTCTCATGGCACAGGCAGTGGCAGACTCCTGCCTTCATTAGCAATTAAACACTTACCAATGTAGAATCCTATTTGAAACATATCAGCTGCTGGGGTCTGGTGGGTTTTCATGATTCTGCCTCATTTTTCCCGCATGGTAAGGTGGTACCATGGTGCCAAGGGCCGGGTGCCAGCTGTGGCAGTGGGGCTGCACTGGGGAGCAGCCTTCACCCTGACAGCCCCAACTGCACTGGGGATATTTATAGAGAAGAGCTGCATGTACAGAGAGGAAGTTTTGTGTTTTAAGACAGAGGGGCAAATGAGGTACTGGAATCAGGAAATGAAAGCAGTTTCAGTGGTATGAGGTGTCTGTCTAGGCAGGGACCTTCCTGAACAAGTGGTTTCCCGCTCTTTCCACACACCAATATTGCATCCACCATTTCAGAGGTTTTAAAAAGGCAGAGACTTGAACAGAGGATCCACAGGGTACCCCTTCCCACTGCAGACATCTACAGCCTTTGGGAAAACACTGAGAGGAGCCACTGGTTTGGTGCAAATGACCTGAGCTAATTACCAGGAGCTTCCTCTGCCCAAAGGATAAATGAGATAAATAGGGCTGTCCTTTCCCCCCCACACCAATAGGTACAACTGTAACCCACTGGTGTTAGTCTGTAGAACTCCACTGGCTTTCACAGACCTCACACTGGCTGAATGTGTGGCCCAGAGGCAGACACAGGCTCTGAGAGCACTTGCTGGGTGTCATATCTGTTCTCAGCTCTGGTGAACACAGGTCTCTACACACTCTCTGCCCAGGGCCAGCAGCATTCACCTTTCATGGGTAGCACACCAAGAAGCTGCTGGAAAAGCAGAGGTGCAGATGAGATGCAATAGTGAGAGTGTGGAGCAGAATTGGGAAGGAAAAGCAGAAGGTGTGGGAATTAGACATCATCCTCAGCTCCCTGTTCCCCCTTCTATTTTAATAACTGATCTGAAAGCTATAGAAAGCACTCGAGATAAGTGTATGGTAGTGACCCAGTGAGTTTGCTGGGCTGTTTCTGTGGGTTAGGCTAATGAATGGGAATACTCAGACACCAAATCAAAGCATCCAGAAAGCATTAGGTCCCCTATCCTAATAGACATAAATATGTTCATCCTGAGTCCTGACAGGAGGAGAACCAGGTTTGGGGACTTGATGGGAAACACCAGCTCTGGGAGAATCAAAGCTGAGTTCTCTGCTTCATAACAAGTGCTTTACCAAAGGCATCTCTATGTCCTGCAGGTCTCTGGTAACAGTCCTGCATCTCTCTCCAGAAGCTCTGAAGGACTCTGGCAGTTTTTGTGGCCCGGGGTGCAGAAATCAGCCAGCCCAGTTTACAGCTAAATATATTTTCTTTGTTGTACTGTATCAAAAGAAACCTCAACCTCTGCTTAACAGGCTGTGGTGGAGTAAGAAGAGAAAGGCTGATTTTTCTTCCTTGATTTTGAAGCTCTTGCACGTGTTGGCAATTCTTTCTCACTCATCTGAGGTGTGTTGGGGTGGGCCCATGTCTTGAGCTGATTTCTGCCCACAAGTGGGACGAGTGGCCACAGATTCAAAATAAAGGCAGGAATTTGCCACACATGAAAACAAATTTCATCACCGGAAGTCTGAGTTGCTTTTGAGGTTTGCATGACTATCTGTGCTTTTGAGCAGTTCTTAACTTTCCAGCATTTTCAGCACATCTGCACCACTGACCCTGCTGCTTTGTCATCACGCTGATCTTTTCGCTTTTCATAATTGGATGTGTGCTCCCTCCTCACTGAGCGACATTTGAAGAACGGCCTGTGGGATCAATGAGAAAGCAGGGTTGGTAGAAGGAGGTAATCACTTTTATTAGCCCAGTTGACATAATTGGAAAAAACAGCCTTTTGGCTTTTGGGCATGGAAGACCTTCCCGAGGACTGTGACTAGCAGGGTGCTGCCCTTAACCCCGCCTGCCCAGATGCTTATCACAAGCTGGAAAGCACAAAGCACTCTGATATTAAGCAGCTGGCCAGACCGGGCTCTTGGCAAGCGCTCGGAAGTGACAGTCTCCAACACAGTGTTTGGCAGGACAGGAATTCGTAAAATTGCTTGCAGAGAACTGATAACTTGCAGTGTTTGTCTGGTGTGTCACTGTGGGGATGGTTGTAAGGTGTCAGCAGCAGCCTGAAGGAGGGAAGGGTCCCTCGTCCTGTGGCCTGACTTGCACTAGCCCCTGCTGCAGGTGGGCTGCTGCCCACCCTGGCTTGAGCCACACCGGGCACCCTTCAGACAACCTGGCACTGCCTGCTCAGAGGGGATTCACTCTATTTTCCCCGTTTTTACTGCTGCATTCCTTTGCCTGTGTGTAGCTGTGGCTGTCAGCACTCAGCAGTGCTGGGGCAGCTCACCAGCCCACAGAAGGAGGGACAGGAACACTTTGTGTGGGTCACCTCTGCCTTCCTCTGGTGACCTAACTGCAGCCTTCCAGTGCCTGAGTGGAGCCCACAAAGAAGATGGAGATAGACTATTTACACGGGTCTGGAGTGACAGAACAAGGGGGAATGGCTTTAAACTGAAAGAGAGTAGGTTTAGATTAGATATCAGAAAAACTTCTTCCCTGTGGGGGTGGTGAGATCCCAGCATAGTTGCTTGGAGAACCTGTGGCTGCACTATCCCTGGGAGTGTTCAAGGCCAGGTTGGACAGGGCTTGGAGCAACCTGGGATAGTGGAAGGTGTCCCTGCCCATGGCAGGGGAGTGGAACAAGATATCTTTAATATCCCTTCCAAACTATTCTGTGATTCTATGATTCTTTTGGCTTCCTCACGCTGCTTCAGAACAGCCTGGCAGGGGTCAGGGGGCTCTGGGCATTTTAGCTGTGGTAGCAGAGTGCAAGCTCCTGGCTCCCGATTTCTTTTCCTCTTTTACTCTCTAAGCCATGAGAGGGAGCCATCTCTGACTCACAAATCCTCGTTAGTCTCTCCTTTATGCTTGTTTGGAGCAATGGTGTAATCAGAAATTAGGGTTTGAGTGATAAAATGGTTTGGGGTTTTTTTTGCTCATTTCTCTCCTTGGGCTCTTTGCACGATCAGGTAGGAGTCCTGGGGTGTCTCCTTGCTCCAGGAGCCCGCAGCAGTAAGGAGTAGTCCAGGGCTCTCTTTGACACTAACCTGCGTCAGGAGGGGCAGCAGAGGGAACAGAAACACTCCTGACTCTTTTGAAGGGGGAGATGCTGCCACCTCTACCCTCGGGCAGCCACCCCCAGGGACTGTGCCCATGCTGTGCCCCGCAGGGGAAGGGGAAGTGAAGAGGGTCTCCTCCAGTCTGAGGGCTGCAGGTAGGTGTGAAATGCCTGAGACAACACCTGTCAGGAGCATCCCTAACGCTTCCACAGATGCAGCCATCCCTCCATCATCCCACGTGAGGGTGCTGTGAAAGTGGGAAGGGAAAGTGAGCAAGGAAGAACCCCCTGCACCAAGGCAGGAGGATGCTCTGGTCCTCTCTGTACATCTCCCAGAGCATCTGCCGAGCGTGGGAGATCACAGCTATTAACCTCTGGAGTACCAGCACTTGTAGGGAGGCAGGGTTTTTTTCAGACTAGACCAAGGGAAAAGGAAACTGCTGAACATGAGCAATGACCCCAGTGAAAACTGAGGCACTTTATATGGAACATGACACTGGCTGGAACAGCTGAACACCAGAGATTCATTGTCTCTGGGCCAAATAGTGAACTGCTCTCCTGT